GTATTTGGAACATCGTTGAAGAGCATTTAATACAAATTTATTTAAACTATTATCATCTTCATAATATGATATCTGGGGCTTTGTTTTTAATCTCTCACTTCTTCTACTCGTTACTTCAATACCATCAGTTCCAATTGGATTCTTAATAGATCCATTTTCTTCTAAGTCTTCTGCTGCTTCATGTTCCCTACTCTCATTCGGGTTGTCTGATCCCTTACTTTCATTCAGGAGATCATCTCGCTTTCTTTTCTTACTCTCATTCAGAAAATGTGCATCCGTTTCCTTACTATCATTCGGGATTTGTGTGTTGTCGTATTCCCTACTTTCTTTCGGGAATTTTGTTTCTTTAATTTCCTTACTTTCATTCGGGAAATTTTTATTTGTACTTTCCTTACTATCTTTCAGGAATGTTGTTTCAAATTTAACAGCTCTAGAATTCACCATATTGGTTTCATCGACAACCACATCTCTTGCAACGAGAAATTTTTCATTAATAGCATCCCACAGTTTAAGACCATTTGCTTCGTAGCCTACTAAAATAGCTTTGTATGATTTATCATCAAACTTTCCCTTTTTGATTTTATTGTGCACATATACAGTTGCACCAAACACTCTCAAATGTTTTAAATCGGGCTTTTTACTGTGCCACATCTCATAAGGGGTCATCACGCTATTAACTATTGCTCTACTTGGAATTCGATTAATTAAGTAAGTTGCAGTTAACACTGCTTCACCCCAAAAACTTTTGTCAAGTTGTGCACCACTTATCATGGCATTAACTAATCCTTTTTATAAAATTGTATTTAATTATTATATATTAAAGCTATATTTTTCATTTTAAATATTTTAATAGTTTTAAAAAATGTCTCGACTAAATAGACCTACTGCATCTCAACGGGCTAGGAATCAATTATTAAGAAATAGGGGAAATAGGGAAAACATTGAGTATGCAGAGATGAAGAGGGTAGAAAATTCCGGGGCTCAGCGTAGACGAAGGGAAAATGCATTAGTCAGGGATGCATAGCAGAGCCTAAATACTGCGTCTTAAGGGCCAAGGCGCTTAAATCCCCCAGCTTGTGCAGTTGGGCAAGCAGCCGATACTCGGCGTCGTTATACAAGGCGACAAAATAGCCAAGTCCGAGCAATAGAGCAGGCCCCAAATACTGCAGAACACTCGGAAAGGCGCTTAGATCCTGATTTCCGTGCGGATGAGCAAGCAGCCGACACTCGGCGTCGTTTAATTAGGCGGCGAAATAGCCAAGTCCGAGCAGGTTCAAAATACTGCTGACCACTCTGAAAGGAGCTTAGATCCTGATTTCCGTGCGGATGAGCAAGCAGCCGATACTCGGCGTCGTTCAATAAGGCGGCGAAATAGCCAAGTCCGAGCTATAGAGCAGGTTCAAATTACTGCTGACCACTCGGAAAGGCGCTTAGATCCTGCTTTCCGTGCGGATGAGCAAGCAGCCGATACTCGGCGTCTTTTAATTAGGCGGCGAAATAGCCAAGTCCCTAGGCCCAGTAGAAGACCTACTAAACTCGAAGTTCTTATAGCTACTTTTAGTAGAAAAGTAAAGCTTAATCCGGATCAGATTTGCCTTTGTTGTAAAGGATTGTGGTTCCCAAAGCAAATAAATAAGCTTTCTAGAGCCTATTTAGAAGAACATTGGGAGTTCAGGGAATAGATTTAACAAAATGCAAACCAGCTTGCTTTCACTGGTGAATCTTTTTAGTTCTGTGCAACTTGTCACAGCAATATAAAGTCCGGCAGAAGGCCCTAAGGTGCCATTTCCAACGGCATAGATTTCCCAGAAATTCCTCATTGCTTAAGGGGGCCTACTTCCATGGAGGAACGACTGATTTCACGTCGCCTTCCATTTATGATTATTAAGGCGATAGGTCATGAGCGTCAGAGTGCTATAAAAGGAGCTGTTGTAAATGTTCCAATTCCAGTAAGAAATATTGTGACGTTGCTCCCACGAACTTTCAATGAAGCTTAGGCTATAATACTCCATTCAAGCAAAAAATGGAATACCATCCAGCAGGAGCATGTAAATTCGGAGGCGACTAATTCCGATGAGAATTTGGAAGCCGAAGAGCTAAATCCTGGAGGACAAGAAACGATGCTTGAGAATAACCAGACACACAATGTAGGAATTCCGAGAATAACAAATGCTCCAGGTGAGGGCCAAAGACCTCTCGACGTGATTCTCGATGCAGACTCTGAAGAATTAGCGTTTCCAAGCATTTATACTGGCGTCAAGAGACCATCTTCAGAGAGTTATACAACCGTAGTTAGGTCTGAACTTAGGTAGAACTGACAAATTATTCTTCAACTATAAGAAGTTGAAATTGATTAAAATTCGAAACAACAACTTGCTTACGTAAGGGCAGCGCCGCCAGCGCTATAACAGCTGCTAACGTACCTAATGATGATTTTATGGGCAACTTAATTAGCCATGATGATGGATATCGAATTCTTAAGGATACTCGCACGTCTCCTGCTCACTGGGAAGATAAAAAGAAAGTCATGGCTATGATTCGCCAGTTTGGTTTGCCAACTGTCTTTGTAACTCTGTCGGCCGCTGAAACTAGGTGGCCAGAGCTGATAGTACTGCTCAAGCGCAATGTAGATAGGGTTGAAATAAGTGAAGAAGAATCTTTAAATTTACAGTTTAGGGAAAGTCGCGCCTGATTAGGACAGACCCAGTGACTTGTGCTACATATTTTGATTATAGATATAGGGAAGTTCTTAAATTAATGAAGAAACTTGGGGGTATCTTTGGAAGTAATTTTGTTTCTACCCATTATTGGCGAGTTGAGTTTCAATAGAGAGGTTCACCTCATATTCACGGTATGTTTTAGCTGAATGACGCCCAGGAAGTGGATTTCAACAATGAAGAATCTGTCTAGTGTCATTTATCAGTTTGTAACTGTGGATGTTACAAATACCGAAAAATGAATGAATCATATCCTCCAATGCCCCAAACGGAAATATTGAAGCCACTTCCTGAAGAAACTAAAATCTTTAGAAAAAGGAATATGCCGAGTATTGTTAATATAGATAGACAGAATTATTTAAGAGCATTAGTTTTGCTTTTTTCTCCGTGGAGAGACGAACAGGCCAATTTAATAAAGAGAAATTGTAAGGAGTTTTACCAAGGGAACGAAGAGGCTATTAAAGCCAATTTTGATAGATTTAATTCCATAGAAAGTTTGGAAGACACGCTTAGAAGGGCCATGGAAGTAGAGGACAATAATGAGGAAAATATAGATGAGGAGGCCGCAGTTAATGAGGAGTTTAGGGCCCTGGCTTTTCCGGAAATATATTTTCAAATAAATGTTTTAAGCTTAAATAACACCGAATTTTCTTTGGATACAATTTTTAGCATAGGAGTTAGTGCACGATCAAAGTGCAGTCACCGTCAAGAGCCTTTATGGACCCCAGTTGTAAAAATTATCAAGAGCTTTCAGATAAATTCTAGCCAGGCCACTACCATTGACTGAAAGCAGTTTCCAGTGGTACCTGCAGAAGCCGTTACTATTCACAAGAGTCAAGGAGCTACGTACAGCAAAGTGGTGGTTTACACTAGTCCAAGGATGCAAAGAGCTGCACTGTATGTAGCCTGTAGCAGAGCCACAAGTGCAGCAGGTCTTTATATTATTGGACTTTTCGTCCCTCCAAGATCCGCTCAGGACTCAGCTTCAGAAGAAGAGCTCCGAGAATTGCGTTCCGCTAAGTTACTGAATACCCATGTCTTTTTCCATAATACGGAAAGCTTGCACTGCCACATTAGCGATGTGTGTTCCGATCAGCTAATGCTTAAGTTTTCAATATTGTGCTTCGTTGAGGCTTCCACATACTCAAAAGAAGCATTTGATATTCCTGACTTTAACCCATCAGTGCGACTAGATTGCCAGTCAGTAGCTATCGGAGCTCGGCCAAAAAGAGCCATTCTCGTATTCATTCGAAGCGATCTTTTTGAGAATGTTAGTCTCTGTTCAAGTGGCCGCTTTTTTGTTAATTCTACCAATTTAGCCTCTTCAGTGTTTGATTTCGCCATCCTTAAGTACCGGTCCTTAAGGATTGTTATATATAAAAGTCCGACGTATCCGTTGATAAAGTTTGAAACAGAGTTTAAGGATTTATTTCAGCGGCACACGTTTTTAAATAGTAATTTTTTAGTGCTAGAAGATTTTAATTTATGCCTTCACTCCATCTCTGGCTGCTGTAAGAGAATTTTCGATTTTTTAGCAGATACAAAAGGTTTTATTTCGTTGCTAGATTTGGATTCGTCTACAACCAATTGCAATACGCATATTGATTGGACGTTTTCAAATATTTTCGATAATGAGGCCACTGCGCGCACATTTGAGACCACGTATAGCTACCATACTGGTATATTAGTTAGCATAAGGGAGGCAGAGTAGGTAGTGTACATACTCGTATGTATAACATAATTATAAATTTAATAATATATATTTAAAAAAAAAACAACAAAAAACTTAGCAATAAAAATTAAATTCATTATTTATTAACAAAAAAATTTTAAAAAACAAATTATTAGTATTTTAAAGGTATTGTTATTATTTATTAACAAAAAAAAAATATTAACTAATATTAAGGTAAAATAAATGTTCCTAAAAAAACAAGGAAAAACGCTATAGTCGAGTACCTCGACTATCAGATACCTGTTACTCAGCTAAAGGGACAAAAGGGAAATGGAGATATGCAAACAGCAAAGCGAGACTGAAATGCGCCACCTAACCCTGATTTCAATATATGGTTATGTGGGCGGTAGACAGATTTAAGCGTTGGGCGTTAGAGTGGGCGTGGCAACTTTTTTTTGGATCAATCAGTTCCAAATAAAAAGTTACACTTGTGAATCACCTTGTGAATCCCGTGGGACTTGTCCTCTTGCACAAGTGAAGAACAAGTGACACTCTGTATAGACAATTGTATGGGATGTCCGCTTTTTCACAAGTGAAAATTCAAAGTAAAATTTTTCGAAGTCCCACTGGACTTAGATCGTATTATTCAGATTTTCAATTAAGGGACAATAATTGTTAGTATTTCTGATTTTTTGTTTTGTTAGTTTGTTTTTCACGTTCGTCATCGCCTTTCTCAAACATGTTTCCGGGTCCTCGGAGTCCTTGACCAACGCTGAAAAAATGTATAGGCATATGATTAAAAAATGCGTTTTAATTGTTTATTTGTAAATTTACGTTTTAGAGCTGTGTATAAACCCTTTGCGGGATTTTTTTGGCACAAAACATTTCATCATCCACTTTCGGCTAATGGAACCCATTGAATATTTTCAAAATTTACGTAATTTAAACTAAGATCAATGCACAACATCTTAAACTTAATGCGCACAATTAGTATGGATACTTCCCTTTCAATCACTCAAACAGAATTCACCAAGTCTTCTTCTCACCCCTTTAGTTGATTTCTTTAGTTTTCACTTCGCTGTTGGCGCGTGCCATAACCTTTCTAAAGCGAAAAATATCCGACTATATAATTTTTACTTTTTGAGTAAAAACTACAATATGAAATTTTTAAAAATGTTAATACTAAAATGTTTTAAACATTGAAATCAATTTTAACGGACTAAATTTCTATAACTAAACAAAAAAATTATTTTGTAACAAAAATGTATAATAAGTAAACATTAAAAGTAAATTCAATTAACTTAATTTTACTATAATCAAATAATATACTTTTATAAAACAATATTAGTTGTTTTTTTCGATCAACAATAATGATCCTAAAATATTAGGGCATTCACAGGTCGCTGCTCCACGAAACTTTTTCCGCCGAAATGTTAGTCGCTAGCCGAACATAACAGAGAGACGCAAAAGAAATAACGGATCGGCCGAAACTTGTCTCTGAGAGCGCCGAGTGCAGGCAGATTATAGGACAAAGAAAGAGAGGGAACTTCCGAATATCTGCCTCTCTTTGTTGCACGATCATTTTTGTAGGCAGTCTTCTACGCTGCGCCGACTTCTCTGCTGACGTCAACAGCGGCACTGCGTTTTAGACACTAAAAAAACAAATAAAGCTCTTTGCCTTGAGCGATGTCTCCGCGTCTCTACTGCAGAAAGGTATTGACGAGACTATTGTTATTGTTGTTTTATGTTCCCAATAATTATGCAGAAAGAACTATGTTTTATGTTTTATGTTTTATTTCACCGCAACACCAGCACCACAACTTAACTCAAGAAGATGTCACAAGAAAAGAGAAAGAAAAACGATCAGTGTGACCAAAGGCTACGCTTTCATTAATGCCTAAAATGTATAATAGTAAAATGGTATTTCTGTTTAGGAATAGGGGTATTCCAACACGCCCCCTCAGAAATAACATCTATAAAATTATAAACTTATATTCATATTATATTATTATATTCATTTGTAATTGTTATGTACTTAGTGTGGGTGGTGTGCATTCTGGGAATAGATATGTGATCCAGCATTTGCTGCAAGGATACGGGAAAAACCCAGAAAAACCCGATCAGATCACTCTTACATATACATATGTTTACATAGAATTATATTTTTAAATTTTAGTAACTTAAAGCTTATACAAAAAAAACGAACAAAAGTATTTCAATGAGATCAATAAAATTCAAATCAAAAAAATAAAAAAACTTCAGCATCAGCAAACAGTGGATCAGTCATCTTGCAGTAATCCCAAATCATGTCGTATTTCCAAGAATTTTGCGGCAGGCAATAGCTTTGTGAAGATATCAGCAAGTTGATTCTCTGTGGAAATATACTCAAGACAAATGGTGTTACTTTCAATTTGTTCTCTGGCAAAATGATATTTGATATCAATATGTTTGGCTCGTTTATGACATGAGGGATTATTTGCTATACTGATACAGCCTTGGTTATCTTCGTAAATTTTAATTGGATTTTCGATTTTGATATTAACACTACTTAGAAGAGATTTTAGCCACAACGCTTCTCTTACAGCTTCAAATAATGCCATGTACTCAGCTTCAGTTGATGAGGCTGCTACTGAGTTCTGCCTCTTTGTGTTCCAACAAATTAAATTTAAATCGAACATTTTGAATAAATACCCTGTGGTACTTTTTCTATCAATTTCGTTTCCTCCCCAATCAGAATCTACATATCCAATTAATGTATTTTTAAACTCAGCACTTCTTTTAAAAATAAGTTTCATTTCAATAGTTCCCTTTAAATACCTAAGGACCCTTTTTAAGCACTGTCATAACTCGGAATTATTTTTGCTACTATATCTACTCAAGATATTTACTGCAGTAGTTAAGTCTGGACGTGTACATAGCATTATGTACATTAAACATCCTATGAGATTACGACATGGAGCATTGCAGTTTTCATCTGAATTAAGTAACTCATAATTTAGTTTGTTTGGTAAGGGAGTACTAACTGCATTGCAATTATCCATGTTAAATTTATTTAAGATTCTTTTAACATATGCAGCTTGGCTCAAGAAAATTTTATCTTCATGCATTTCTATTCTAATACCAATAAAATGTTTTATTTCTTTTAGGTCGGTCATTCTAAACTTTTTCATTAAATAATTTTTGAATTTATCCATTGTTATCATATTCCCCGTTGCTATCACCACATCATCAACATATAACAGCACATAAATATTTTCCCTAATATCACCTTTATCAAGGATATATATACAGCGATCTACGGAAGAGTTTACAAACTCACAGTCTTTCAATGCTTGCTCAAAAACTTCAAACCAGCATCTAGCGGCTTGTTTGAGTCCGTAAATTGCCTTATTCAATCTACATACATTGTCACCTTTGCACTGTATACCTTGAGGAAGTCTCATATATATTTCCTCTTTTAACGTGCCATTTAAGAATGCCGTTTTTACATCCATTTGATGGACTTTCAAGTTATATTGAACTGCCAATGATAATATAAATCGAAAACTGGAAATTCTAGCTACAGGAGCAAAAGTCTCTTCATAATCGACTTGGTACTTTTGAGTAAATCCTCGTGCAACCAGTCTAGCTTTATATCTTCCTAGTTCGTTATATTTAACGGAAAACACCCATTTGCTATCTACTATGTTTTTATATTTAGGTCTTTCTGTGATTGTCCAGGTATTATTTAGTTCATGAGCACTCAACTCTGTTTTTATGGCTTCCTCCCAAAACAATTTATCATTCCTATACTGAATTTCATCGTATGTATTTGGAACATCGTTGAAGAGCATTTAATACAAATTTATTTAAACTATTATCATCTTCATAATATGATATCTGGGGCTTTGTTTTTAATCTCTCACTTCTTCTACTCGTTACTTCAATACCATCAGTTCCAATTGGATTCTTAATAGATCCATTTTCTTCTAAGTCTTCTGCTGCTTCATGTTCCCTACTCTCATTCGGGTTGTCTGATCCCTTACTTTCATTCAGGAGATCATCTCGCTTTCTTTTCTTACTCTCATTCAGAAAATGTGCATCCGTTTCCTTACTATCATTCGGGATTTGTGTGTTGTCGTATTCCCTACTTTCTTTCGGGAATTTTGTTTCTTTAATTTCCTTACTTTCATTCGGGAAATTTTTATTTGTACTTTCCTTACTATCTTTCAGGAATGTTGTTTCAAATTTAACAGTTCTAGAATTCACCATATTGGTTTCATCGACAACCACATCTCTTGCAACGAGAAATTTTTCATTAATAGCATCCCACAGTTAAAGACCATTTGCTTCGTAGCCTACTAAAATAGCTTTGTATGATTTATCATCAAACTTTCCCTTTTTGATTTTATTGTGCACATATACAGTTGCACCAAACACTCTCAAATGTTTTAAATCGGGCTTTTTACTGTGCCACATCTCATAAGGGGTCATCACGCTATTAACTATTGCTCTACTTGGAATTCGATTAATTAAGTAAGTTGCAGTTAACACTGCTTCACCCCAAAAACTTTTGTCAAGTTGTGCACCACTTATCATGGCACGAGCTTTTTCTGTGATGGTTCTAATCATTCTTTCAGAAACACCATTTAACTGTGGTGTGTGTGGCACTGTTAAATGATAAGTAATACCCTTCTTAACACAAAACTGGCGCATCTCATTTGAGAGATATTCTCTCCCATTGTCAATGTACAAATTAACAATTTTCAAATTAAAATGAGCTTCACCTTTTGCTACAAAATCTTTAAACATATTAAATACGGCAGATTTGTGTTTTATTAAGTAAGTTACACAATAGTGTGTAAACTGATCAACAAAGATCACAAAGTAATTTTTATCATTTAGTGTAACGGGAGTAATTGGTCCACAAACATCTGAGTGCACAACAAATAGAGGTCTTTTAATATGGGTTCTATTTTTAAATTGTTTAAACGGTAACCTTCCTTGTTTACCATTTAAACATGGTTCGCAAATTTCATTTGATAGCTCTAAATTATTTAAAAGACTGTTATCACTAAACATATTATGTCGTTTTATTTCTAATAACTTTCCATTGCTTTTATGACCAAGCCTCTCATGCCATAATCGAAAATTATTTTTCTGTTTCGCATCTATATTATATGCTTGAAATTGAACAATAGGTATATTGTTAAACATACCTGAATTCTTGACCACCGTCAATCCATTCTTGGAAATGGTTACTCCATTTTTGTCAAATTTGATCGACATTCCTGCCTCTTGTAGGCGCTTCACAGACATCAAGTATCCAGCAGCCTGCTCGGAAAACAGCACATCCTCCAGCGTTATTTCGTGGTCATTGCGCAAACGCACAATGCCACGCTTAGATGCGTAAATATATTCGCCTTGCTTGGCCACAGCGATCTTCAGCGGCGGCACCAATTCCACACTATCGATGTACAGCGACTCATCATTTATCAGATGATCACTTGCACCGGAATCAAGAATAAATCCACAATTATCTACCGCGGGGTTTTCTTGCACTTCTTTTACCATGAATGCAATGCCTTGTGATGTTGCGGTTTTAGCTTGTTTATCGTAATTTTTATTATCTTTATTTCTTTCATTTAGAATTCTTTTATATTGGTAGCAATCCTTTTTAATGTGTCCCTCCTTGTCACAGTAGTGACATCTAACCCTATTTTTAAAATTTCCCTTAAATGTTTTCTTTTGTTTAGTTACACGATTTTTAAATGAATTGTTTTTATTATTGTAGTTTTTATTTTGAACAATCGTGTTTAAAGCTTTCCTACTAGTGTCATTATGATCATTTTTAATTTTAATTTCGTGGTCTAGCAATCTATTCTTAACAAATGCTAATGTTAAATTATCCTCTGATATTGTCTCTATTGCTGTAATGAGACCATCGTAAGCCGAAGGCAATGTAATCAAGAAATGAGACACTTTATCCATCTCTTCTATTTTTGCACCTGCGGCCAACAACTCACTTATAAATTCATCAAAAATAGTAAATTGGGACACTAGGGACATTTCACTTGATAGCTTAAGAGAAAGCAAGCGTTTGCAAACTGCCAACTGCGATGCCAGACTTTTTCGTTCATATACAGCGTCCAAATCTCCAAGAATTT